TTTTTGCTCCTGCTGCTGCTGCTGTTGTTGTTGCTGTTGCTGCTGCTGCTGCTGGAACAGACTCCTAACAGGTTGCTGGTGTGGTGGAATTAACCTCTGTGAATGAGTCTAAAGTCAGACAAAAGAATAAAGTCAATATGCTTTACAGTTCAAATATACTGACAAAATAACTGGCACAAAACCAAGACACCTTTGAAAAACAATTAGGACCAAGTCTTAACAGAAGAACGTCTTTCCCCTATCGTGAAATCCTCTGGAATTGTTACGAACGATCAGCACAAGAAACAAAGGAACGATGGAAGGCACTAATGTGAGGGAGAGGAAGGCATAGAGCAAGGAAGACACAGAAGCTCCTACCAGACAGCAGAAGCACCTAGGATGCCCAGACTGAACGGTACCAAAGGCAGCCGTTCAGCTTTCACACTGTGCCTTCTTAATCCCACGTTAGGGCTCTGTATGTCTCTGTATGTAGGGCTCTGCAGACTGTCATCAACTGCAATAAGGCATTCGTGCTGAACAGTAGAAAGCTCAGCCCTTAATACCAGCACAAGTCCACTAGCTTTTCCCTCAGGTATAGAGGAGCCTCTCTGAGAGGAGGGACCTAACAGTAGCACGAAAAGTCAAAACACAGACTAATCTAGATTCTTAAGATGACATCAGTGCAGCCCATCTAGCCATGCTGCCTGAAGTAAAAAAAAGCATTAAGCTACTTTAAAGATACTTTTCAAGTTATTTTCCTTAATACAAAAGGAATTCTCATCTCGATTAACTTTCCCAAACCTAACAAGCCAAAACCAGATGGAAATCAAAAGAGGCCTCAAGTTTCTCTTCAGGGACACTGCTGCTTCTGAACTCACTGACACTAAAAGCCAGTCTTGAGCCCTAGTCCTGCTACTCTCAAACGGTAGCGCAAGAAGAGTCTCAAGCAGGCAACCTTTTACTAAGATGTGACTTTTTTTTTTTTTTTTCCCCAGCAGCCACCTATATAAAAGCTAAGCAGCTACAAAGTATGAAGGAGAAGATTCTGTGATGAGCACAGAAACAGTAGCAACATTTTAAACCAAAGTAGCAAAGATTGCAGCAACACAAAGAAAAAAAAAGTAATTCTATCTTCACTGTTTTAAAAGCAGGAAATACTCTACTGCACAGCTCTCAACTGGTGAGCAGTCCACCGACCCCTGCTAGCGACTGGCACCTAGAGTTACTGCCGTGGAAAAAATCCCCTTTGTTTAATACCGATGACCTTGTCCTGCAAAGACATACACAAGGTTTGTGCTACAGTCCCAGCTTCCACTACACTTTAAGACAGATAACAAAAACAAATGTGGGCCACCTCTTGATCACACACCTACTGGGGTTTTTTTGGGAGGAAAAAATAACTTTAGCTTGTGACATAAACCAGGGAATTGGCGGGGGAGAAAAAGAGCAAAGAGGCATTTCACCTGAAGTCCGAGGAAACTTAAGCATAACACGGCTAGAAGAGAAGCTGATTTATCTAGTGGTGGTTACTTTTCTGTTTTTAATCTGTCTCCTGTGTGCTAGGAATACAAATAGATTTCTTTCAAAGTATTAGCAAAAGTTTGAGTTAGACCAAAAAGCTGGAATTACATTTCTCCCAACCAAATTACTGTTAGCAATGGGGGACAAACATGTCTACACGTCACTCACAGAGGACTTAACCTACTGTTCCATGCTGATGCAAAGCAGTAATATGCCTGATTATACGTGTATGAATCAAAATCCACTTTTCTTTTGTGGGCTTTGAGATTCCTCAAGTTGAGGCTAGTAACAAAACTCATCACACAGTTTTTTCAGTCACCACGTTATGCAGAGCCCACCCTGCCCTGAAAGAACAGAAGTTTATGCTGGAATTTCTGCCAGTCTTCAGAATTTTTTTTTTTCCCCTCCCTGAGACTGATTTCAATTTTTAAAGAGAAAAAACAAACAAATAAAAAAAATAAACCACCCTTCATAAAGATTCACAACTTGGAAAGCATTTTTCCCTGATTTCCTGAAAGTACCCTCAGACAAAGAATACTAAGGAGGAAAAGGTACCATTGCGGCCGGCTGGTTTGGCAGCAGAGCAGGCCTGTGATCCTTCATTCTTCCCCTCTCGTTGTTGTCTCGCCTTTGTTCTCCCATCCCGTGGCACATCACTGAGCCTCCTCTTCGCCCTCCTCTCCTCGAGCCATACCGCCCCTGTTTAAGCTGCCTTTCTCGTTCTTCAAATTCAAGTAATGCTGCTTTGGCTTCTGCAGAGAGTTCTGTTAAAAGAGAGAGAAGGGGGAAACGTATTAGCTTCATGCTCAAAAGACCAAAAAAAAAAAAAAATACCATGAAAGGCATCACTAGAACTACAGAAGCATCATTGCAACTAACAAAAAAATTTGCAGGCACTTTGATCTCCTTTAGGTGGCATGTTAACATTTCACTAGACACCTGCAAAAGGGAAAAACATACCGATGTTTGTGTCTGTCACACAGGCAAAACGTGGCAGGTGAATGAAACAAACACCAATAAAAAGGTTATTTCTGCTATTGAAAGCTGCCTCATGTTTGCTGTCGGTGAGACTGCGGCTGCTTGCACATCTGCATCGTCTTAAACAACACGGCACTTTTCTGCAGAAACGTCCCACAGCACAACAAAAGCTCCAGCACACTCGCCAGGAAAGGTTTTGACGAGTCTTCCATATAAACAGATTTCACGTGCTAGACTTTGACTTTGGCCTGCTCCAAAGGAGGACTTTCTGGTCCTGGAGATGTTTTTGCAGTATGTAACTACTTAACATTGTATGTATTGCACATGGTTCAAGATCCAGCTGTACTTTACTAGTGATAAATCCACTTATAGAAAGCACACACAAATTCTAGGCTCAGCTCAAGTCAGATACATAGCCAGTGATAAACCCCACCCAATTCACCAGCTCAACAAAATTGCCAAATTTGGGTAAAACCTGCAACAACGCTGATGATAAATTAAAAAACAACTATACAGTAAATGACCCGAGTAACCAAATTACCTGTGAACATAGACAAAGCCCACACAAAAACTTTGGGAAATACAAAGCGACAGTACCAGCAGTGACACCCATCACATTTCAATTATTTAAAGGGGATAAACTTTAATCCAAATAAGCAACCAAGCACTTGGCAGTGTGCAGAGTCATAGCCGTTGTTACTTCTGAACGTGAACTTTGCACTTAACGGTGCAAAATTAATCTACAAAAACACTTCCTAGACGAACATACGCATCCTCTGAACGCATATAAACGCTACTCAGAGCGAGGACTCCATGTTCTCATTAAAAGCGTTCTCAGCGTTAAAGGCGACTGGATGCACAGACCACTTTTTAGGACAAAATGGTTTTATCTGCTAACACTACAGGTAATGGCTATATCTGAAGATCAGATTAAAAACACGCTGCATCTCCGCGCATTCTTAAGGCGGCTGGGGACATTAATACAAGGTCTCTGCACAGCTACCTAGCCTCCATCAAGAATACTTATCTACCACAATTAGAAAACTATAAAAATTTGTTGGGAGTGTAATAGCCAAAGCTGCTTAAGCCACCGTTTTAAATATCTTTATAAGTAACCTTAGTTACTTTTTGAAGTTGAGAGTGGATGAAAGTACACGCAATGGTGAGAAGAGCACAGTCCCACCGCAGCAGCTCCTCTTCCTTGGCTGCAGATACTACCTGCATGACCAAGCTGCAAAGATGACGACAGATTTGCATGTGCCAGTTTTCAGATGTTATCAATGCCTACATGAATCAGAGGCGTTCTCATTTTTAAAAGAGAAGTCTAGAACCTGCTGACTACCCAAGGATACAGCACACATGACAGACTGCCTAAAACCCCAGGATCTGCCACATATTTCTCCCCCCTGTTTCGGTACGGCAGTGATAAAACCCCACGTTTCCCTACCTCCTTTTCTCTCCCCTCTCTGACACTGGAATTAAGCGGTAGAAAAACCTTAATTTACAAACACGTCAGATATCCTTACGAAATGCTACCTTTGCCCGAGGACCTGCCTCGGGAGCTCGGCAGAGCCCAGGGCAATCGGGCTACGCGAGGAAAACCGCACAGCACGGTTAAAAAGGGGCAAGGAACCACACTCCCCGAAGCCTTCGAGCGCTACTCAACGTGCACACCGCGGCTTTCTGAGGAAAATTAAGATAAATGCTCTCATATGCAAAGTAATCACAAGTATTTCATGTTACTAAAAAAACCTATCATTTCCCATGCTTCGCTCTCAGGGGAAAAAAGCTGGTTTAACGGGAAAACCAGAGCTCCGATTTCAAGCCTGTCCTCACCTCAAGCAAGTTCAGTTTCTTCAGAGGCTCGCAAGCGTGAAGAGGCTACCGTGGGCTTTTAGATGGTCTTCGGGAAAGAGAAGCACCACCAGGTCCCATACACTTAAGGAGCAGGCATAGCAACTCTCCCCTTGCCTCAGGCACGCTACTGTGCCACTGCAAACTAGAGGGCACATTTAACCAGAGGGTTTCCAAATCCTCTCCAAATCCAATTCAGGGCATGGCGCTAGCTGGAAACTTTTCTTTTCTTCCAGGATAGGACAGACAGGACATTTTTTCTGCCATCTTCCACACTACAATCCTGAACATCCTTGCATCCTACGGTGCAAGGTAGGCTGGAAAGCAAAGTTCACTCATGGCAACAAGTACCTACCACGGATACTCATTGAAGAGGGTAAGACGCTACCTCCTACGAAACAGATTAGAAGTCACATGAGAAGAAAGCAATTCTTAATGAATCTGGGAACAGAGCTAGGCTTCCTACAACGCACAATGACATCTAAGTCTCAGAGTCTTTAGTGCATTTGAAGGACATCAAGTAGAAGCAACTGTAGAAGAAAGAAGATGTTGCACCAAACAAAACGATTTTAGAGAGCTACGCTGATTAAGCACGGGGAAGCGATGACAACATCCAAGTTGAAGTCCGTTCAAATGATCTCTGACATGTTAGGCACATTCCACTCCCTTTAAAATGAAAGGTAATAAATTGTTTTCCTAGTCCCCACAAAAATTCTCAAACCTGCAAAGACTGTGCCTTCATAGGCACAGCGCACACATTCAGATTTTCAGCCAAAACAGGAAAATTGTATGTAAATTTGAATTTTGAAAAGATATCCAAAATAAAAGACATTCCTCATGTCTTTTATTGTCTCTACAGCAAGCATCAGCTACAGACACAGCGCATCCATGACCAAAAAAAGTGCACTAAAACTGTTTTTAAAAGAAAAAAAATGAATATTACATTAATACATCAAGCCTACTTCCCCATGACATGCCACTGAAGGCAATGAGGTCCTATCTGTGAAATACGCTTAGACAGAAAACTGCAGGTTCAGACCCTTAGAGACAGAGTGCAAAGATTTATGCAATAAACCAAACTCATTCCTCATGAATACCCAAAACACTTAACTTTTTTTTTTTTTTTTTTTTTATTAAAGAGGAAGCAAAGTAAGAATCACTCAGGAGATTCACGTGGTAAAGCCCACCATTTCTCCCTGGTTATGAGCTTGGGCACCCCATGTCCCAAAGGGGCTGAGGCAGGCTGGATGCAGCCATGCCCTCCCAGACAGGGAGCACTGGGGTACGGTGCTGGGCCACCGCAGACCCAGCCCAGCTGAGTGCAGGTCTGCGTGGCTGACTCTGGCTCCGGAGGCTCCCCAGGGCACGGGCATTTCAATTCCCAGGCTTCAGAAGCCTAGAACCTATTATCCTGGAAAATGCAGATTTGCAACTGAAACCACATTCCAGAAATGCCTTATTAAAAAAAATTGCATAGAATTACATATATGCACACATATGTATGCAACCTAAATTGCATGTGACAGCAAATGATTTTTTTTTTTTTAACTTTTTTTTCCCATCTTCTAGACTTGCAACCTGATTATAACATGCGGTTTTGCATGTGGTGCAAAAGGGCAACAGCAAAACATTCATTTTAATTTCCTAGTTTTACCTGAAGTTTCAGCTGCTGCTTATCACAGTGAACATAAATCATCTAAGCAGAACATAACAAAAAATACTGCTGCATATAATAATGATTCTCAGCACTTTGCAAGGGGCTTCCTATAAGTGGTTTTTTTTTTTTTTTAATTATCCAAACTAAAATATTCTCTCTGTAACTATGTCAAGCAAAGCCATTTTTCTTCTTTATTCTCCTTAACAGGTAAAAAGATCCACAGCACAATAATTCCCACTCAGTAAAGAGTTCAATGGAGTATAATGAAAAAAAGTTACGTATTTCACAAAGATGATAAACTTCCCATCTCCAGAAATCAACTGCACAGTCTTCCTACAATTCTCCTCCTTTAAATTTTTCAAAGCCACTAGTTACGTTTTCTTGGATAAGTTAATGTTTAGGAAAGGTCTCAGCTACAGGCACAAGAATACTCCATATTTTTATCAGCATACACTTACCCTAATCTGGACTGCACTGATCTCACATCCACACACAGTTAATGCAGTGAATCAGCAATTATTTTTCTAGTGTCTCTAAGTGTCAAGATTAATTTCACTATCCCTGGTAATAAAATGGTTTCAAATGACATCTTTAATCAGCAAGAAAGAATGCACTCCTCCAATAGAGACAAACTGTCACAAAAGGTCACCAAAATGTGACAGGATAGAAATTACGTTTGTAACTTCAACTGAAATGTTAATTCCTCCCTAAGTGTTTTTGCAACTATGTTCAGATTTTAAAGTAAGGAGATGTAGCTCTGCAATGACGTTTCATTTTTAAACCGGTTCTATTTGGTTTAAAAATTTGCTCTATAATCTCAAAAGCAAGCAGGCACTTGCAGATAAACAACAAGGTGGGTTACTCCTGTTTGCTTCTTCACTGTTTAACTTTCCACCAGGTGATCAGTTACTTGGTCTTTTTATCAACAAATTAACACACAAAAGCAGCACGAACAGAAACCATTTCACAAGAGCAAGTTTGTATTGTTGCCAAAGATTAGTTTAAAAAAATAAAAACAAGCAAGCAACAAAAAAATCCAAATAACAAAAAAAAACTGCTGGTCTATAAAGTCATCCACAATTGCATCCTGTTTTACTTATCTCGGAGCTATATCATAAGTCACCCATAAAAATAAAGTCTAATTCTAATCATTACTGTCTTAACAGTCAAGCTCCACTGCAGGTTTTCTCCTCGTGGATGGTCTTGTTTTACATAAAATTACAGTGTAAATCCAGGTACATGCAAATACCTGCAAACGCCATTTACCTTGCAATTATGTGCAAAGATTTATTAATTCCAACGCTCTCTGATTTATAAAGGATACTGTTGTGTAAAGCTACCCGTGTCTTTTTGTGTAAATAAGTTACGGTCTGTATATGGTATATATAAATATGGTGTTATGGCTGAAAACACATTCAGAACGTGTTTTCACATTCTCAGACAAAATATCCCTTGCCCACACAAATTACTTTGTGTCTGAGGCCTCCAGAGGGTTCCTCCAGTCTCATTCGAATCAGGATCAATTCCTAATTATTGAAAACAATGTTAAAAAAGGCCTGTGATACACACTTTGCCTGAAATTGCAAGTAAGAAAAACCTATCGGCTAAATCTAGGCAACGGATGAGAAAGATCTCAACTCAAAATCATGCACTGAGTTTGTCTCACCCGCAGCATGACAAGGGCTACTTGACACAAATACTATTGCAAAAGACCAGCCCAACCTCTGCAGCTGACTCCTGCTGCTCACCAACAAGTCCTCATAGCGAATTAAGACTTTTCACTTTTTCTTGCACAGCAACACCTCAAATTCCTTGCAGTTGAATCAAAGAATTATTAGGATACACAACTCAGAAGATTTCTCAGAAGTAAGACCTTTAGTAAGGCAAGGCTTTTAAGGTAAGAGGAAAATTTCATCAGGACAAGTTCTGACACCCAAGCCAGCTGCTCTGGGAATATAATTCCAAAACGTCCTGTTGCCTAAAAAGAGGCTGTCTTTTCTAGAAAGAAGGCAGAAGCACCCAGCTACCAAGTTTAGGCTAAGTAGAAACTCAAATGTTCACCTTAGGGCATCTACTGCCCAAAGGGTGGCATCTATCTTACAACACTCCTATGAAGAATTTATGTTCCTACAGGCTGGTAACACCTATAAATATTATCAAAAGATGCACCTTCTCCCATTGGTATCTGGCGATTAGCCAGCAGCAAGTGAGAACTACCTTCATTACCAATTCACCTAGCTCTTGCATATCTTGAGCTTCTTCAAAAAATTTCACCTTTTTCTCCATGGTCTGAAATGATATTTTGGTTCAACAGCAAAACAAGGAGAACGGTATGCCCTTCTGAAAGCAAACTTTAATATCCTCACCAATGTCTTAACTTCCTCTCTTATCTTTTTTCTCTCTTTTTTTTTTTAATGCCCCATATTGCCCTCAGCCAGCATAACAACCCTAGTCACAGGCTGCTATTGCTTGTAGCACCACCAGCGTTACCACCACTGTAAACCCAACATGAGCAATATCTATTAGATACTCAAGTATCCAGGACACACAGGAGGGGTCTTGAAATTAACTCACAAAAACACTAGGCAGGATGATTTTATTTACACACTAAAATAAGGTTGCTGCAAGAAAGTTGCAAATCTACTGCTTTTGCCAGAACTACCAGCGTCTCCAATGCATTAGCTGCACAGAGCAGCCTCCCTAGAATCGAGCGTACCCATGCTCTGCCACGCTGACATGAAGAAAATTTATCCTTTCAGACACTGCCCAAGAGATTAAGTTCTGGATAAGATACCTAGATTGTTCGGTGTTCGAAAAGCTGAATCCGGAAGAGAGGGTTTTCCGTACTTTTCTAACGCCCTCCTCCAAGCACATTTGCAAAAGAGCAGAAAAGTTTGAATGAACGAATATGGCCCTGGTTTTCAAAACGCTACATACTTAAACACTACCCAAAGGAGATCAACACTACAGATACTAGAACAGATTACAGATGACATTCGGCAACTTGGACATAGGCCAAGCCAAGTCAAAAGATTATTCTATCTTTAGAAAGACGTTCAATGGCAAAAAGTTTTGGCAGGAGTCCCTTTCAACTCCTTTTATTACAGCTCTTCAAAACAGGCCATTGCCACAGAACCTCACCCAAAGTTTCTGGAATGTTTCTCCTTTCTCTTGTCACGTCCGACAGCCTAATTATCGTCCCTTCTTTCCGCTCAGTTTTGAAACGTAGTCGTCCAGATTCTTCGTCATCATCCTCCTCTTCATCAGATTCTTCTTTTGTTTCTTCCTGAAGCTCGAGAGATTCAATAGCTGCCTGAAACACAAAATACAGCGAACGCGCATACTGAGAAGTCTACTTTCTCGTCAACAATAAGACTTAAAAGACAAAGTTTTCTTTTAAGGTCCCTTTGCACAAGTTTTGCTGGCATCGTGTTATTCTCCTACATGACTTTGAAAGCAAAGATCAATGGGTACCAACACTTTAAGGATGTTTTAAATAGATAGATATCAAGTATAGAATAAATTTTGCACATGTATTGGGACAACATACTTTGCTGCAATATTTAAGGGGCTATGGAATCTTTTGCTAAGACCACCATCTAATTTGTAGCTACTTTTGGACATAGATCAGCATTTCAGAGTTGACTAACATATTAGCATACTGAAAATTAGCAGATTCAAGTAATCCAAGTACTTAAAAACAAATCAACGACTTGATAACAATTGTCAGTAGCGTGTTGTGAAAAAATATAAACACATTTCTCAATTATATTCCCGTAGCTATGCCTAAGCGCACTTCTCTACTTTTTCTACTCCTTAAATTAATTCAGCAGTTGATGAAGAGAATGTGGAACAAGACTGCATAAAATTTGCATATACTAGATGCGTATATCTGAATGCTACTCCCTTGTCCTCATTTACATTCCAGTTCTCTCTATAACAGAGAACATTTCTTTAGATGAAACAATGTCCCAAATGAAAATGGATTCCTCTCCCTCTAATTAAACAAAAAAAATTTATCTCATTTTCTTGTGCTAGCACGATAAAATTAAGTTCAGAATGTTACACAAGTTACATTTGATTGCTGGAGTTGAAAATTAGAAAACTTCTAATATAGCATGATTTTCCATAAAATAGTTGGTTACTGTAGATTTACATTGTTTTTGCTTCATTTGAAGACATCATAGGAAGCCTACTTGCTGATTTCTTAGAGACTACACACGCCTTTTAATTCTTTGCAAAGCCATTAAATACAACACAACTTCTACGCTGCTTGAGGACTAAAAAAAAGCGAAATATTACATGCAGGAAATGGTTTCGTCTTCTAATTAATCAGATCGGTGCAGTAATTTCTATGAAAAAGGCATTGCAAAGTGCGTCAATCAGATGGACAGATACTACGTCAAACAGGAAGACAATGACTTAATGGCAGGATGGCGCAAGAAACTGCAAATTTCTTCATCCGATATCCCAATTTCATCCAAAAATGAAAAGAAATATGGGAATCAAGATTAGAGATAGGATCTGGCAAGGCAATGTCTATTTAAGAGCAGCATAAGAAGTGAACCTTGTCTTGCTAGTCCCTTAAAAATAAAGAGATGAGAACAGACAACTTTGGTCTGGTGAAAAGGTGATCTGTATACTTAGTTATCAGGCTTTAACGGGTTACTGATCCCAGCTCATTCCAATTTAACATCTATTCTTTATCTCAAGACGTATTTTATCCAAAGCAAGCATACATTTAAGCATTGTACAACCTGAGCCGGTAAAAATGCTTTAAGCTATGACTAACAATATAACTAAAGTTTTAAAATATAAGCCTTAAGAGCTGTTTTAAAGATATGTATTTCTATGCACAGACTTTATCATATAAAACAACAGAGCTTCAAAAAAAAAAAAAACCACACAAAACAAAATCACAGGATTGTAGGCAAAAAAAAAATCTCTCAAGTCTGCAAGAAATGCAAACGTCAAAACCAAACCCAAATTGAGAACAACCAATCTCATTAACATATTCATATAAAATCAAAGCATCTCAGAGGAAAGGCAGGTGGAACTTGGGGAACAGAGGAGGGATGTTAGCAAGGGAAGAAGTGCTAAGCTGGGTTAAAAAAATAAAAAATAAATCTACTTCCAAAAGAGGGACTCCCAAAGGAGAAAGGAATAGCAATATCTCTATCAAATTCATGATTTTAAAAATCCATAATAAAACAATTTTGCTGTTTCAGTGCAGATCCTTCAGGATCGGGATGGAGAAGTCAGAACTGGAGCGGTGGTTCTGCGAGAGATGCTCTCTCACTTCGTTAAGCCTCCTACTTTTCTTCAGTGCACAAACCATTCTCTGTGTTTGCATCTCTCCCAAGCTACGTGGGGATTCCCATTTTCATTCATCACAGCCATATTTCAGTCACACGACCTTATCTTTGAAGGGAAAACCTACTTGTGCAAGGCTCTGTGTATGAATATATAGAAGAATCAGGACTAGAGTCATTAATGTGGTCTGAATTGTCAAGAAAAACATTGCAGTGTTTTAACGAAACGCTATACAAAACATCCGTGGAAAAAACTGAGGTCTTTCAATACTTATCCATTGTAAAAAATTTTTAAAAATGCAAGTTACAAAATGAGAACAGACTACAGCTACCAACCTATGCAACAATAAAAAGCTTTTCTACACAAGTATCTACTCTGTTCTTCTTAGCCACTTATATTGCTCAAGAATGCTAACTGACCCATGTCCAAGTCTGATTATATGTATGACTGAGGGATTCATACTTGCTGTGATGCAGATGCAAACATGTCTGACAGTCAACTGTACGTTCTCTGTGTATAGCTCCAGGAAAGGTTATCTGAGCTGGGAAGGAGCATACACTCTTCCCCCCAACTTGTTGAATACTTTAGATCATCTTTGCAGACTTCCAGTGTAATAGGATGAGCTGCTTTGCCAAGATTGCACTTGGCAGATGTATGGATTTCATTTTTCAGAAGACAAGAAAATTGCACAGGAAAATTACACAGGAAAGGATACGAGTAAAGACAGAGAATTAATACATAACAGTACTTAAAGGATACTGTTTAATACCTGCTCATCGTGAATATCTCTGCATATACATAAATAGCCCTTGAACAGCCACTTGAGGTCAGTTGACTCGTCCGGCAAGGCTTCTTATCAGCTCTCCTCAAAGGAAGCTTAACGTTTCCCACTATGACACCTTGCACAAAGCTACTAAAGAGCTTGGCTGATTTTTCATTATGAAATATATATATATATATATATATATACACATACACACACACACACACACATATAGATACACACATAGACCTTACTCCTACCACCAGGGCAGAGTTTTCTGCCATCCTCATTAAATAAGTATGCCATAAATCCCAGGCACTGACCAGAGCTTCCCACACCGGGCTACAGTCTGCTACAGAGCAAGAGTGAGTGCTCCTGCCCCAAAGCCCTTACCATGCAGTTGTAAGATGGATAACAGACAGAAAAAGCCCAAGGAATCCATAAGAAAATACTAGTCAGCATGAAAAATGGTGATCTCAGCACAGGATCCTAAACCTGGTATTTTCAAGTGTTCTGGAGGGCTTTTCGGCAGAGAGCGCTAAGATGTACAAGCCAGGTAAGTTTTGCAAAGGCTAAAACACATCCCTTCCAAATAAGACATTAGGAAGGAGATAGAAAGATGTTTTATTAACTCTCTAGTGAATAAGCCATTGAGGCTCCTACCTTAGGCTAACACTGAGGCGACAGCAGCAGCAACTGCTCAATCCCAAGAGATCAAGAAATAAGAGCTGATAAAAGCATGTTACACCTATCCCAAAGGCACCTCCATTTAACAGATGAAAAACAGGAGTAAAGACTAAACTTGAAGTTTCCAAGTATTTTTCTAAACATACTCAAAAGCCTAACTGTTCTGATTCATACTCTTTTCATCATTTTCTTCAGGCTTACAGGAAAAGAGTCTTCAAAATTGAACAAGAGAACTGACATTCATGTTTCAGGTAAGCACAGCTGGAACAATCTCACAGCAAACGCTTGTTCTCTTTGAGAGAATACAAACTTGGGGGAAAAAAGCCAATATGTATGTAGCGCATCAAAGTATTTTTCTCAATTCAGGTTCCCTTTGTTTCTTATCAGCTTAACCCAAGACAAGGTTCAAATTAATGCAGTGAGAAACCTCCTGTCGTTCAAGAAAAGAAGCTATAGACTTCACAGAAGATTAATTCTGATATAAACCAACATAGAAAGCATGAATTCTAATTTTAGGAAGTTGCATTGTTATGAGCATTTGGTAGAAACAATCAGTGATATTATTCCTCTATTTAGAGGATTGCATATTCATGTAACTGGCAGTTCTAACACACCTATTTGCTGCTGAAACTTCTGCCTACTGGATTTTGCTTTGCACCTTATGAAGACAAAAGTATTTTCTGAAGCACTACTACAACTTCTCTTTAAGCTCCAGAGCGTATTTATTCAAAACACGAGTAACAGGTCTGCCCTTTCCCTTATTTCACCAATTTCCCCCATCCTGTTCCAATCTCCTGGCCTGACTACCTCTTCTCTGGGTTTAGAGAATTTCTTCATGCAATACTGTAAGAGGCTGTTTTGTTTTTTAACATAGAAACTGCCTAATTTCAACCACTGGATAACACGCCAAATTTCAGTCAGTGGATAATAATGCTATTTATTTGTACCAAATCTACTTCAGCTCCATTCTTGTGCTGTATTTTGAATACTGCCATGCCAACAATAACACTTAGTGCATGTGAACAAGGGCAATGATATTTAATTAAGGAAGGCCTGCTATATGATCTTTGAATAAATAACAACAATATTTGGAACTGGAGGCACGCGTCTACCTATACAATATACAGAAGTACATACGTTGCAAATATACTCTCCTGATGGCACCCTCATTGGGTGAGACAAATTGAGAGCTTACAAACAAATTTAAGTAGGATATATCTGAAACAAATGAAGTATACGTTAGGAGCCAAAGGTTACATTAGGAGTCTTGCTGTTCCAGGAGCAAGAAACCTGTGGCAATCTCCAAGCCATCAGAATAAAGACAGAATATAGATTAACTGAACAAAGATGTGGCCAAACGTTTGCATTACATGAACAATTTTTCTAACAGTTTTCTTAAGAAAGTCAAATTAAAAAAAAAAAAGAATTGCATTTGTGCTGTCTTTTTGAATGAAAGGAATTTAATTCTGAATTATAAGACAAATCTATAAAATATGTTGGTTACACAATTCAGACTAGGTTATATTCAAAACAACTAGCTTAATTTTTAGAAGTGGTAAATTGGAAACGATACTCAGCTGGATACAATTTAGATGCTGTCCTTGCATTCACCATCTCCTAGAGACCGTGGCTGTAGATAGCCCAAGTGCTTCAGACTGCGTTTAAAATACCAGAAGGAAAACGCTTATAATTCAGTGAATGAATAAGAAGCACTTCTTTCATTTAAGTGTTTCTTTTTTCTTTCTTCGTTTGGGTTTTTTTTTTTTTTTGGAAAGGTAGATTTAATGTTTAGAAAGTAGGAAATTTAAGATATATTTGGTATAGGATTGCACGCTTGCAACAGCAAAGGACTGGACAGCGTGGGTGGCCCCTTTCAATGTCCCTGTTAATCTAGCAAAGAATGTTGTTTTACTATAATGCTTGATGCAACTAGAGAGCATCATAGCACACCCATTTGTTGAAGCTTCATAGAAGAACGCTGTTGTGTCTTTGAGGAATTAATTTCCTGATGAGTTAAGACACCAAAGGAACCAAATCTGCCTACGCTTCTCAGCGGGTATTCCACTCAATCCTATTTAATTAAGAACTGGAATAAAAGTAATATTAAAGTAGATTCCTGGTGGGGAAAGGAAAAAAATTCCTTTACCTTCTGCATCAAGAATTTGTTGCAAATTAAGAACACATATAAGAACATTGCTCCATGCTACAACCAGGGAACGTATCCTTATTAGTTTTTGGCATGAGCCTTCTGCTTGTGAAGGAACGAACTCATTCTCTTTCCTAATCAAATAATTAAAATAAACCTCACGGAAATTTCTGTCCCAACATAATTTCTTTCAAATCGATTCGGTCTTCATCTTTTTGGACATACCAAAGCTTTTGTGCTCACATTCCTTCGCAAAACAGGATTCTGGTACACTTGAGAATTGTATCTACAGCCTTAACATCAACAAATTATCTATCAGGAACGTTAAGCCATTAGAGATGTGAGACAACCCAGACATCACACAGGATTACTATCATGCTTCTACCCAAAAGAGACTCTGAAGCTTCTAAGATTAAAACTAAGATTAAAACATGGACTTTTTGAAGTTTCCCTTATGATTTTTAGCCCAAGGGTGATCTGATATAACAGACAAATATAGATACTAACTCATTTATTTTATACAAAGAGTAAAACCACCAACAATTCAACAATGATAAAGCTGTATAGAGTTGCATCAGTTCTTACCTAGCAATACAGATAATTCCATAACTTCAAATTCTGAAGCAACTGATTGATTTACGTTTCCACTAAACTCGCAACATACCTCTTCTGATTCATTTGTCATTGTCTGGGAATCTTCCAGTTCCTCATCAGCTGTATATTCCTCTTGTTCTTCCATTGCTTGCTCATTATATGACTGCATGTAATCTTCATCCTAAAACAATAACACAAGAAGGTGAAAAGATATACCTAAAATTTTACAAAAAATACACACCTGCTAAGAGCGAGGTGCTTAAGCATTCACAGTATTGTTGTTGTTACCAGAAAGTATCGTATCTATCAGAACTGTCAGTTCTAAGTGACAACATAAGATGTAATTAACAGGGCTTTTAACTAGTCACAGTAATTGCACTGTTACTGAAAACATAATCAAAACAGTTTTCATCTAGACTCCAGTAATGCCATCATAAAGGTCCCACCTACTTCTGCAGCTCTCCATCCTTTGATTACAAATTCACTGAACCAAAGACTGCAGTAATTGCTCACTGAAGGGAGCATGTGCCTATAGGACATATACATTAACATCAAGTTTCACCTTTTTAAAAAATATAAATATTTTTAACACCTTCTGCAGTAAGTTATATATGAACGGGTTAGATTCTGTACAACTGAAAAAACATGTAGAGCAAAAACTTTAAAAACATCAGCAAACAACTCACTGAACACACAGAGTTTCAACTGAGATTAAATCATTTAGCTAGCAATTAAGGCCAGTGCATGTTCTTTAATACATTGCTTACATTATATCAAATTATGCATGTGACATTTTCTGAACTAACCTCCAATCTCTTTATTCAGGTTGAGACAGTTCTCAGTTACAAAAAGGATGAAGGAGCGGCACATCAATCACTTTGGAATATTAGCACCTTAAAGATGTCTTTAGCAGGTCAATAATCTTTTCACCTTCCAAGGACTTTATCAGATCTTGTCTAAAGCCTGGATAAAAGCTTTTGCATTAAGTACTTCTAACAATTGGCAGTGTATCTCCACCACACAAAGCTGTTTTTCTTCCTTAAGGATACAATCCTCAAGGTCACGATTCTCAACTGCCTTCCAGCATGACAAAGGAGCATTACCTACCGCCAAACAAGCTGTCAACACAAACTTGGTCACAGCCTAGATAAAGAAACTGCCAGACAGTGATAATAGGTCTAATTTCCCCTCCTCCCTAGGGAGCCAAACAGTTTTCACATCAGTCTAAAACCCTATGCACGTGAAGCAATGTTATCTTTGAAGATACAATAGAAAGAAACTCACTGGAAATTCATCTAGAGGTTCATTGATTTCAAGGTCTAGCACTTCATCATCTTCTCCAGGCTCTTCCCCATATTCTATTTGGTCTTCTGTCAGTTCAGGATCATTGCCTTCGTAATGTCCTTCCTCTGCATACTCTGAAGCATACACTTCAGGTGCTTCTGATTTGTCATAAACTATTTCATCTTCCCCTTGGTCATACTCAGACTCGTGTTCGATGGATCGATCATTGATGGTATCAGAGAGTTCATACGATGCAAGCATGCCAGACGTGGCGTTGAGGCTAACTGTGACACCTTGAGAACTATGGCATAGGAGAAAAAGATTCGAAGGTTGAAGCATAATGGTCGAGGCTACTTAAGAAGACTGAGCAAAACAGAGTCAAACAAATATCTGTTCTCTAAGTTGGTGCACAAAATTATACCTCACATGCTATTTGACTACATGCCATATACTCATAACGCATACTGTACCACAGCTTATCACCAGCTGCAGGCTATTTGACCAGGGGAATCAAATCAACCAGATGGTCTAACAGGTCAGACTGGCAAAAGTCCTGCTTGGTAACCAAAGCAGACTGCATTCAATTATAATTCCAAGACTAACAAAAATACACAAAATTACTATAACTGCATCCATTTTCCCAGTCTCTCAAAATAAGCTAGTAAGCTGTTTTTAAATAAATACATTAATACTTATCTTTCTTGATTATCTTGCAATCAAGCTTACATTTTTATGACAGATTTAACATCCTACTTAAAATAACGTAATGTATATAGTCAAGAACTGTCATTTAAATGTGTAAGACTTATTCTAAATTAGTAACAGCACAAGTAGGCATAAACCTTGGAAAAAAGCAAACAAGTTCAAAACTGGAAAGATGATCACTTCCAGGAACAGCAAAATTCAGGATTTACTGTTTACAATAGCCAGTATCACCACCATACAGAAGAGTGAATCACCAACTGCAGACTAGTTACAAGACTAGCAGGGGGGAAGTTCTCATTGATTTAAGGGCTTTGGGAACAAAGATTTTTTTTTTTTTAAATTATATTCCTATTATTCACTATTTTTCTAAGTTTGAGAGAGGCACAAGGTCCAGGCAGATCTGAACAACTTGCATCTATCAGGCAAGAAGAGTTAACATGAAAACATTATGCAGGATTATCATTATCCTCCCATCTACACAAGCATAAATGGACTCAACGGAAAGAGGGAGCGGGGGAGATGGACAGGAAGAAGAGCACAGCTCTCCCTCTCTGGCAATAACGCCGTTAAAAATGTAAGAATCGTCTACAATGTCACTGCTTTCACTGAGTAACATTATCGCAGGAAGGACTGTAACTGGGATTCCTCAGTTTGAAGGAAACAGTCCTGCCCTCATTCCTGCCAGGAATCTCACCCCATCCTAATCACTCCAACACAGGGAGGTGTCTCCACTTCCAAATCTGGGCCAAAGACGAGGAGGAGGCCTTAGAGCATCACAAATACACCCCTTCGGACCATACGCTTGGGTAGCGCGTAACAAGTCAGGGAAAGCAGACAAAACACAGAGGCAACTCATTAAAAGTGGTGGTAGCACCGCATCATTCCTGCGTCACAACCATCTTTCTCCTTCAGTCCAGCCTGAAGTCTAAAAACACCAAGACACTCCTTTCTACTTATGAGGTCCATAATTCAGCACGTGCAGAGCATTCACAGGATTCCCAGATTGCAATGGAAACACCCATTCAGCCCTACAGCCTCTGTACGAGCTGCTGCGCGGTGCACACAAATACTTAAGTCACAACTCAAGCTTTATAAACTATGGTGCTCAGGGTCTCACAGGATAAGATACGTCTTTCAAGGCGAGATAGCAGCAAAGGGACTTTACAGAAGAAGAAAGCCTACAGTGATGTGAAGCATAAACAGAGCAAGAGCTCTGCAGGTATTTATAAATCATTCTAATAAGCACAGGAGATGTTGTAATTTCTTCTTTACATGCATTTTTATAGCTTCTGGTTATGCTCATTTTACTAGATTCCAATAAATGAAGAATTATTTTACTGAAATCTTAACAATGCTACTGATCACATTATACACACACATCATTATGTAGCTAGTCAGGTTAAAGCAAAACTATTTTAAGTTTAAAACGACAGCTTCAGCTTGGAAAACTGGTTTTTGTCCTGTTTTACATAGAAGTTTTTAATAAACTGGTACCATGTTCACAAAACCCAGTAGTCTAGAAAAACAACCACAGCAAAAACAAAAAAAACCCCACGTTATATCTTAGTAGCAGTTTTTAGAAATTATTCAGAACACAAGCTTTAGAAAAGAGATACCCAAAATGTGGTTCCTCTTCATTGTCACTTTGCAGAAGATCATCATTCAGTTCTTCATCGGACAAGTCTGACTGATTCTAGGTTTTAATAAAAAAAAGCCAACCATGAACATAAAAAAGATACTGTTCAGAGTCTTCAATAGTTTTGTAAGTAATCTTTTTATGATGAACAAATCCCAGACTGAGACCACATTTTCAGTGAAATTACCTAGTGAAATGATAAAATATATGCTACACATGACAACAAATCTGAAAAGAAATATTCGACAGTCTCATGGAAACATGCAAAATTCAAACCCGCCTACTTTTCAACCCATTTCACTGTCCCATTCCCAGATATAAGAAAAGCGGATGACCTGCTTGAAAAAATACTAGCATATGAGCAAGGTTAGCATTACTGCTATTTCATTTAACTGCCTTGTGACCTTGAAGCATTAGGTAGGTCAAGAAAAATCACCACGTTACCACAGTTTCTAGAGGGCAGAGATACTTAGGAGACTGGAGGAAAGGGTATCATGACATTAAAAACATTGACAAACTCCTCCTAATTCGTCAACCATACCTTCAGTTGCTTCATTTATCTTAATTTTTTTTTCCCCCTTTTATAATTACCCGCTAGGAAGAGATAACTGTATGGTTTTGCTCAGCAACGTTATTTCCATCCCCTAAAGTGACAGGGGCAGAAAGGTTACACAAGGGTCGATTTATCTAAATGTACTGGGATGAGATTAAGTAGAAGCAAGTTTAGGCTTAATAGTTCAGGGAAAACTTCCCGAGAAATGTATTATTACTATTAATACACATAGGAGTCCATACCCACAAATATTGGTGGGAGCCCTTTACCATGGAAAACTTGAAATAAGAATAGAAAAAGCACAAGAAGATATAACATATCAGATAAACCTTGCTATTGATTATTGTTCATATAATAGACATAAAATATATAATTACATAAAATAATACATAATTATCTATTATTTACATATAAAATAAGGAAGAATCTTATGTTTCAACTACAAAGTCATACCTAATGTTAACTGCTTCCAATTTAGATAATCACTTAACACATAAATCCGCAACCCCTAGCCTTCTGGAAAATATTTTTCCTACCAGTGCACTGCAAGAAAGGATTTCCTATCGTTAAAGGGAAGTACTTACAGAATAACCTCCAGAAGTTTAGAGTGTGATTATGCAAAGCCACGTCAATTAAAACCCACTTTTACCAGATCTGCGTTTCTCTAACAAAAGCCTGCTCACCTCCAACTGCGACCAAATTTTAAAAAACTATTTCTGAATGAACTGATTTAGCAGATAAAGCGGAGAAAGAGGTGACTAGCCAGTTTTGATTTTCCAAGAGGAAGCCGTCCAAGAGGAACTTTCTCCTGCAGTCACCAGGCAAATCCAAACACACATTTAGTTCTTCCATATAGTTCAGTTTTGAAAAAAGATATCTCAGAGTGAGGGGTCTGAGACACAGCAGACATGAGGGGACTCCTTCTTGCTCTCCAGCACCAGCTACTGCCAAATCCCTTCCTTAGAGTAAGGAAGGGATTGCTTTTTTATTTACTCATCCCACGATGGATTTTAGCACAACGCTGATGGGGAAGAGCAACAAAATACTGATGGTACTTTGATGAAAAGCTTTGAATAGCCAGCAAACAGGCAGGTGAAATGAATTCCCAGGCATGCTGGCCAGCATTCAGGAAGCATGATTGGTTTGGTTTTTTTTATTCTTCAAGTCAGTAGGAGCTACAGAGAGAACGGTTCAGAAAACCATCTCCTCTTGGAACTACGCATTATGCAAAGAAGAGAAATTCTATCTTAGAAAAAAATCTGCCTTTAAATTTCATTAAAAAGAAAAAAAAGAAAAAAGAAAAGAAAAGGAGCCACACTTGGAGATGCTTCACAAAAGGCAGCTGAGGTCTGGGTGCAAAGCACGACTCAACAGGGCTGACTGCAGACACTCGGGAGGCTCCTGAGCAACGGGACTGTCGGGCTCGGCTGACCTTATCGTACAGACAGACGAGGTCAGGGCAAACAACTTCAGTGGATGAGACAAATGTCATTCACACTTTGAATCTAGAACAACTCACTTTGGCTTTAGCTTGCATCTCTCTCACCTTTTTGCCGGTTAGCAAATCCTCTCCGAGCAAGTCGTCATCAAGTTCACTGGAAAATATTAACAGATTTTAAAAGTTGAACCTTAGAAAAACAGAAGCAAACACTGTGTGGCCTAAGGGCATTTCTCCTCCAAAAATTAACTTGAGCAGAACTGCTGCTGACTCCCCACAAAGCTTTGCTTTTAGCAAAATATTTAGCAAGTTCAAAAAGCAGATTTACATTTTAAATGAGATTATAGCCCATAAAGTAAGGGCTGCTGTTGTGCAGTCATTTATTACTGTGTGCTCTCCTTTGCATATCCTTCTAACCATGACACAGCACATAGACCTAGACACAGTCCAGGCCTTGCAAACGCAGTCAGCAGACACCTGCTCCAGAGACTTCCTTTGAGGCCGTTTGGGCATGTTGTCCACAAAGCTTTTGCCCACCTCCCCAAAGACCAAGCAGGTCAGACAGCCACGTCCTCCGGGTAAGGTCAAGCCCACGGGCCACCATCTGGTCCATGCTGAATCTCGTTGCATTGCACCGAGGAGGCAATCAGATGCCAGTTGGCTTGGTAGCCGTTTAGGCCCAGATCGTTCGTAAACTTCCCCGGTTTGAGGAGAAGGGAAGAAAGTACAAGTTGAATATGCATTTTAGGACTAGGGGAATCAAGCGCATGTCTCAACACCTTCTCGAGAGCAGTCAAAAACTCAGGAAGCACAAAAATACCTGGCTTATGACACTTCTTCCATCACATAGCATCTCTCCCATAAAGGGGGAGCAACACAGAGACCTGCGTTCTGAGTTATCTGAACTTTAAGACAACTACTTAACGTCATTCTTCCTTCAGTTCAAGGATTGTCTAATGACATGAATAAACAGATCCCCCTTCTTCAGAAAATACTGATGAATACTTACATTAGAATATGCGTGTCCAAATACGAGATAACAGGGATTTGAAATACAAACTGTAATTCAAGAACTTGGGCCTTAGATACCACACAAAAAGTTAAAACACCCCAAAGTGACTTTGGGAACAGGAATTGAAGGCAAGTTTCATCATCTCACACAAAAAAGCATACCTGTCACTTTTCCAAAGCAGCTAAAAAAAACCCAAATTCCCATTGTGCTAACTGGATGTTTGAGTTCCTTAGGACTACAGAGGAAATACTTGAAAATACAGAAGCCAATTCCAAGACAGAGATCCATGCTAGTAATTGTTCCTGCAAACGGATCCATCTCTTTCAGAGCTAGTCAATGTACAGATAACGTGGGGGGAAATAAATAAATAAATAAATAAATAACTCTTGAGCACTTCTAGAAGGCAGCAGAAGAAATTCCCAATCAGCAGTGAATAGGCTGTTATCATCAGGACACAGTATTTGTTCATACTTACTGAACTCAAACAGTTCCAGGAATGACTGAACATTAACAAATAGTAATTGCTTTGTATTCACTGTAATATCAAACAAGAACTGGGACACAAGACATGTCACACATCCCAAAGAGTGACATTACTAGAATACAAGCCCTTTTTTGCAGAGGCAGAAAACTCAACATAACGGGAATGGTTTCAGAAGAATTTAGAGCCAAATCAGAAGTAGGAAGGAGAGCCACTAATCTCTACAGGATCAACTGCCAGGAATTAAATAAATTTTTCAAAGCAAAAGATTTGAAAATATTTCCCAGCACTGTGGCCCCCCACTGACTGCTCTGAACAAAACTGCTCGAGAAATTCCAAGAGCTTGCAAGAGTATTGTTCCAGCACTCAAAAAGCAAATTGAGCTGGTGAGCTATTCTAACAACCCCAGACAAAAAAAAAAAATTTGTTGAAGTTAATGCTATTCAACACGTTATTAAAATATGTCTTTGACAGCCCCCTTTTTAAGGGATTATACATTTGGGCAACAGAAGTAATTGCATACACAGTCTAGATTTTTAAAAAACTTTGACTTATTACACACTAGCCCAAAAATCAGCACTAGCAAATAAATGAAGCTCACGATAAACAAAGAGCTAAACTAACAAGCATTTCCTTAGTAGAAACAAAAGCGTTTCATAAACTTTCCCTCAAATTGTTACTATATTAAATCCTATTCAATATTTTCACTGACAATGTCAAGGGGAAAAAAATCACTGCTGACAAAGTTTTGAATGAACAAAATAACAGCAAAGAGGTTAATAATAAATTATTTTGAAGTCAGTAGCCTGCACAGTAAACTGGGCACATCTCTAGTTTCTTTTAACATAGCCAAAGTTATATATTAGGAAGAAGAGTGATCAAAATCACAAGATCTATTTTCAAAAAGGAGCAACACCCAGACGCAAGAGAAACTTAGATTATCAGAGAAAAGCATGACCAAAAACTAATGGCTTGAAGCTATAATCACCTAGTACCACAGCAGGTGGGTTAAACTGCAATAAAAGCTCACATTGGTGGCCGTACTAAAGGAGAACCACCTCGACCGTCCCACCAGTGGATTCCACAACTCTAGCTCTTCAGATCAAGCCATAACGGTCTTCCCAAGACTGCGCTGCTATGAAATCGCGACTGAAATAATCTAATAATTCACTCTTGTCAGAAAAGAGGGGCCCATTCCCATTCCCTTCCTCAACTCCCAATGTGCAGAAGTCCCCTCACGAGGACAAGTGAATTTTAGTAAAAAAAACAATTATTAAATCAGCTCCACCATCTCACTGGATAGCACCAGAATGATATGTTTTTTCCCAAAGCCAAGCTTTGGGCTACTTATGGAGATAAACGTATAAATTAACAGCCCATGATATACAGGCCAGACTAAGCGGCCCCTTCTGGCCTCCCATTTCACGAGCATGCCTCATTAAACATGAGCAGGAGGCAAGGACAAGTGTTTCGGAAAAGCATTCGCAAAAAAAATCTAATGGGAAAAATTTCCCCAGAACAATGTTACATTTGTACTCCAGAATAACGGGGGCCTTCCCAGCCCTTGGTCAGCAGTCGCTACTACTGCAGAAAGGAAAGAGATCCGGAAATTCAAAACGATTGAAAGGGCTGGAGGATGGGACTCAGTTAACCAGCAATACAGTGACAGAAATGATGGTTGACCATGATGTATGCCAAAAAACATCAACGAAACAACAACAACAACAAGATTTAGGTTGCAAAACAAAGCACGAGGGATTAAAAAACATACCAGATCTACTGGGCTCATTCAGCTTTTATCTATCTTCACGAAACTGTATTCTGTGCTTAATCAGGCCAGTGGTTGCAAAAAACTCAACTATGTTAGGCAATAACGTACCCATGCAAGGCGTTTTCAGTTGCACAGGCAACCACAGAACATATACTTGCTAGATTGCTAAGTTGTCTTTGAAAGAATAAAAAAAATTCCATACAACTGCAAATGAAAAAAATTCAATTATGTACAGTTGTAAAAGCCCTTTTCTCAAATAACTGATTAGCAAGATGAAACTCTGCGGCCTCCAGTCCTGCACCTGACGCCACTTCCCTCCCAATTTCACTACAGAATGAAAAGATAGTTTTTGCTCATCTAGCTTAAGTTATATGCAGCTAATAATAAATAAAAGAATAGATAGAAACAGTAGATCTTTCTTCTAAAACTGAACTGTGGTCCGCTCCAAAGTCCCAGCTTCGTGAAATACTTGATAGCCTTTCCCAAGCCACGTACAAACAGCTTGACCACGTGGAGCTGACCAGCAGCAGTCGCTTCACAACCTCATGCATCACAGCAGAGGTTCAACTCTTCCAGGTGCTCCGAAGCCATACGTGCCCTCCAACACAAGGCGTTCGCCTGTAACGTTGGCTTCAGTATTTCCGGGCTGCGCTGCGGCAACCTCAAGCGTGACTATGCCGCCCGGGGCTTGGGAAGCCGCACAATCAAGTGACATAGCTTTACCAAGTTATTTGGATTTCCTTTGCCAACCAGATCGCTTCCTTGATCCGGTTCACATCGCAGTGGCCTGACGGGGCAGCACATCTCCCTTACACCAGCACAACACGCTCTTCGCTGATCTGTTGTCCAAGGTCCCTATTCTCGCTTACTCAGCTCCTAGAGCAATGCCAGCTCCTCCCTCACCCGAGCAGAAAAGCACGGAAGAGGAGACTAATCCCTCTGGAATGAGGATAAATGTAAGGGCAGCTGACTCACTCCTAGGGCTCAGCTCAGTACAAAACTGCTTATAGTGAGGTTTGTTTACTACAGTCAAGTGAACGATCATCTGATTTTTTTTTTTAAACCAGCAAGGTTTGAACAAGTTCTCTCTTGCACTACTCTCTCTACTCTCTCTGCACTACTAAAAACAAAAAGAAAGAATAAACCAGCCCAGTCAGCAGCTTCACTCAAATCTTTCCCAGTTATAGGACCTCAGTATAAAAGGACATGCACTCATCCGCCCCCTGACCCCCAAATAAGCAGACGATACATACTTCCAAATCTTCATAAGTATCCTCATTTTTCAATAGAGACCCACACTTACAACTCAATTCCTCGCGCCCAGTGGAAGACTGAACAAGGATTTTGAGGATATGAATTTTAATATCTACTAAAAAAAGAAGTCTTAAGTTGGGCGAACTCAAGTACTAGCAAGACTATTGAAGCCAAACAAAGATCTAAACATTTACAGGAAAAATCAGGACATGAACTGCAAACTTAATTACACACCTCAAACGCTTTATATTCATCCAATTTTAAATAGTATCTTTTCATAGCTCTGTCTAAATTCCTCAAGGCAAGCATGTATCTCTGGCACAAGCTAGCATCTGCTGACACATACGTAACAACCAACAGCTTCATTAGTAGCTAAACATACAGTACTCTAAATGTTACAATACAAAATGCCAGAACTGGAAAACAGAGCAGTGCAATTCAGCATATGGAGTACGAACATGAAGAAATTCTACCTACCTGTCCCAGTCGTCATCTCCAGCTCTTCTTCTCCAAGACCTTTCTGCACCAGGCTTATCAAACTGATCAAAGTCATCATCTGTAAAGAAAAAGACTATGTTAAATAATTCTCATTGAAATTGAGAAGGTGTCTGAAGGAACAACTTGGTTTTTTTTTTTTAAGTAGATGCTAAAATAGCTCTTTTTCGCTTTCCATTTTACATAAGGAAAAGAAGTAGATAAAAACCAACGCTTCTTAATAGTTGCTTCAATAATAAAGTCATGAGTATACAGTTCGCCATCTTTTCAGTACTGAGGTGAGACATGAGGAAAACAGAAGGAATCACTGGGAAAAAAAAAAAAAGAAAAACCTGGAAAATTTTACCAGTGAAGATCATCCAAGATGGCAGGGGCTCCCAAGCAATCTGGGAGGCGAAGGGATGGAGGCAGCCAGAGCTCCCTGCCGGCCCCGAGCTCCTGCAAGCCCGCATTGAAACCTCAACAGCCTTGAACCCCGCACGAGGCAGGAAAGGCAGCAGCAACCCAAACTAGGGCACGGAAGTCAGGTGTAAAACACTATCGATTTTCTCAGCTGGGGCACTACAAAGACATCATATATACATTTTCCTGACTGTATTACCGCTTGTTCTTTGACGGAGTACAATGCCATGGATTGACTGTTTCTTTTGTGTTATGAGCCTTAAGCAAAAAACAAACAAACAAAAGACACCTTTGTCTTCAGTTCTTTAAGTTCAATCCAACATCCTTTTGTGAATATTCCCCACATGCAATGACAACTCTATTCACGTCTTCCGTCGTATGATTGAAACGCATGTTTTTAGTGACTGATAGAAATTCAAAAGGAGGTGAAGGCATTAAAAAGTGAAAATGCAGTTGTGGCAACATCACTAAACCAAAAGGTTTCAAACCAGAAATTACAATTATACAGAGCTATGAAAACAAAAATGGCTCACTATGAATTACAGCACAATAAAGTCAAATGTGGCAACTCTTCTCTTTGGAAGCAGTACATAACAATTTCCCTTAATCAGCTTCTCCCATACCCCCAACTACATACTGACCATTTACATTTTAACCAATCTACGTAGGCTGACACCATGGAAACAAATGGTTATCTTGCAGTTTTCCATTCAAATAGCATCTATATATTGCAACCTCCTTTATTCCAAATCCTATTCCACCAATAGAGGAAAGGCAGAACGATGTCCAAGAATTTACTGTCTTCCTCTTGAACTCTACACTATCCACCTTTCTGGTCTCTTAAAAGAAATAAACCCACACAACACCACCAAAACCCACCTTGCTGTCCTTTCAGCTATCCATAACTGTGCTGCAGGGATGCTCTTGGCATATTGCAAAGAAACGGGCAACAAACAGGCACAAATACCCTGCAGTGTCATTCTTCTCACAGCTGAATTGCATTAGTCCACTGACTTGATGCAATCACCTCCAAAGGTAGTTTAAGGTAACGTGGCTGGTTTTGCACCAACACAAATTAAGAGCATTCTCATATACGTCAACGTAACTCAAGACAGTAAGCACCATCAGACAGGCAGTAATCTTTTCAGCTGTGCCTGCTCACCTGCAAGAAATCGTATTTTGGCATTCTGGGTATTACTATGACGACTATAGAGCTGTATGACTATAAAGCAACACAGCTTGAAGACAAGATCTTAGCTCCAAAGTATTTGAATTCAGCACACATTTCTTACACAGATGGACCTTCACTTTGGCCAGGTTTAAATCCGGAAAACAGAAAGCTACATGCCAAACCCTCCGCACAAAGAAGCATTCCTCAGTATAATTCATACTTTTTCCAGGCCAGACACATAAGTTTCACTGCCACGAAAGTGTTTCAGCTTAGTATTACCGCTAGCAAAGAAATAGTACCAAAAGAAGGATCCTACTCTTGACAAGTTTCTAGTGTAGACCTGGAGCTCCACTCTGCCAGCAATGCCAACCTTTACCCTCCACCTCTTCTAATCTCTTCAAATTTCTCCTGTTCTGTTCCTTACTTATGAGGGTCTTCTACAAAAATCCAAAACTATATGAGATTTCTTTAAAGCTTCTTCCACAGGGCCCCTCTGCCAGGATGCCTACAAAAGCCTCAAAAGTGGCCAGAAAAAAGTGGGCTGCGCCTGGAGCATCTAAGAATTGCCCAACTATCCATGTCCCCACCATCTTCCTGCTCTGTTCTCTCTGTCTCATCACATACTTGTACCATAAGGTCCTTCGAGGCAGAGTGAGAAAGTTTCACTTTTGTGCTTTGTATTTGTTTGTTCTAGCATAGCCAAGACTGACAGTAAGTGTTATAAGTTATGTCAGCGCTATCAAAACTGGTTTTAACATTAATCAGAGCCCAAAAGAAGGTTATTGATCTTCTTCAGGAAAAGGGAGTCACCAGACCTGTATCTACGAACCCCTGGCAACAGCACCCATTTCCAGCTTCACGGTTTGTGAGATATCAAGCATTAAAATGGACACAGAGGCCCTAAACATGCAGTGAAAGGTGGTGACACTTACCAAGCCTCAGCTAAGCATAGTTTCTTTTTCCATCTCTGAACTTACAGGTATTCTCATTTTTCTTATCCCTTTCTAGTCAATAATATGGGAGAATACCAGAAGTAAACAAACATTTGGCCTAGTATGTATGGGTGCTTCTCCTGGAGAAACTCGTATGAGTCCAATGCTTGTGTCCAGTATGGTTAGGTACTGAAAAAATGCACCTTGTGCAGGAATGGAATCACTCAGCATCAAGCAGAGCAACAAATAGTGACAGCCACAGCCAAAGAACTTCAACATATCAAAAAAAAAAAAAAAAAAAAAAAGGCACTGACAGATTTGGAAAGTAGGAAAGACCAGTTATGTAGGATAAACAAAAGTAGTAATCCACAGCTTGGCTCTTCAGCGCTGCAGTACTAAGAGAATCGCAACACAGGCACAGACTAAAAGCTGGCTATGTTCTTAGACAAGTCTGTCTCCCAAGGGCCTGAGCAGTTGCGAACCAAAAAAACCCTATGGACTGCCAAACACCCTTGGTTCCCTACTCTAACAATTTTTCTGTTTGCTTTACGATTATCCTAGCCCAGCACCGACAGCGCTGTAAGCTGCTCTACAGCTTATTTTCCGGTTTATAAGTAATACGCCAGGAACTGTTACATTTTTTTCCTGATTAATCAGAACAGATCATCCACGCTAGAAATCCACAGACCGAAAGCTGCGTTTCTCTCTGGCTACGCTGACGGTAGCTTCCAACTCTCCAGGCACCTTTTCAATAAGATCTTCCCTAATCATGTTGTACATAAGATGGAAGTCCTAAGCTATACAGCAATCCCTCTCACGAAAGTCTCATGAGCGTAGGAGGTGAACCAGCTGGATAACTGCGGAGCAGAGCTTACAATGGTACCAATGTAGCCTAAAAAGGTAGTCCTACATAGCAACTGTTGCTAAGATGGAGTATTTCCCTGCAAGGAGACGCCCAAGACTTCCCAGCTAGGAAAAACATTTGACGACTGCATTGTTCTTCCTACAAACACACCAAACGCTGGCTCCAAGCTGTCCCATAAACCCCCTTAACAGCTCAAAATTTTGTGTTTTAACTCAGTTCAACATTTCACCATTGTGAATACCAGACATACTATTATTTTTAGGTCTCAAAAAACATTGAGGATTTCTCCTTATGCATAAGGTGGATAAAAGTTGTTTCTGCAACAATGACCCAAAAGCTCAGTGGGTAAAAAAGTGTCACTCGCCAGGCACCCAACAGGTCTTTTAACAAAGTAACTAAGCTGCACTGCTTCTGGGCAGAACAGGTAAGAGGGGTATAAAGAGACAAAAAAGCGGAAAAATCAACTACCATGTGGAAAAATGCCGCTTACCTTGGCTTAGATTTAACTCTGAACATAAACAATTCCATTGTGATCTATCCCATTCCTCAGCATCATATTTAAAACACTCTCAACGTGACAACTTGACAGCATTTCAAGCACAAGTTTCCAGATTAAAAAATCTTCCTACTAGCTTATCTCTTTTTAGTAGTTTATCTGCACAGAATATTTGTCCTCATATTTCATTGCAAAAGGTTACACCAAAAAACAGGGATCATAAAGCCTGAATTTCCCAGAATTGAGTATACAAAAGACAGACCTACTCTGTTTCAAATTGAAGTTTCATATCTCTTGCTATGAGATACGGAGGAGGAATAACAGGTTCAAGAGCAACAGCCAAGTCTGAAATACAGGACAGCAAGGTACCTGTGCTATTAACATCAGCTGAATATAAGTTTCCCTGCTGGTAGGTGTTGTTGGGATTTGGGTATTTTGTTTGTTTTTCTAGTTGTAGAAGCATAAGGCCAACGGGAACTCTCGAACCTGAAACTGTGATTTAAATCTAAGATGTTATGAAGCACACTATGAATCTTGTCTCATTTATTACAGACAACCAAGCTCTCTATCCATATGACAAAAAATCATGTTCACTCCTGCCCTTTCATTAAACGCAAAAAAAAGCGTGCAAAAGTACACTATACACAAACATAAACTGCATAGCTTATCTGTTCAGGGACAGACATATAGTCTTTACAATTACTCATACAATCCTTAAGAAATCAGTGACTAAGTATCTGGAACAATGTAGGGATTGCCTAAGAGGTCCCTCCACCAGTGTATTTCATGTTTTTGTTCTGAATTACTCACATAGGACAGTGTTTTTCTTTCTCAAAGAAAGAGAAAGAAATTAATTTCCATAGGAGATAAGTGTTTTGCTTTGTTTTTGAGTTTGAGTTTGTCACAATGCAAAGCAAATCACTAGCTATAAGCAAGAACAGAACTAATTGTGACATGCCACCAAGAAGTTCTCCTCCCGATCCCTGTTGCAAAGAAACCTCTCTCTCCTTCTCTTTTTTTGGGGGTGTTTGCAGGGAACAGGCGGAAGGAACGAACCCCCAAAACGTTCTCAAAGCCTGCTCTGGATTTGAAAATATATTTGCTTTCGAAAAACATTTTAAACTCCTAATGCCTCACGCTGAATAGCGAAGTCCAAGAGTTTAAATGAAATCTGCATGAGCTCGGTTCCCAAGCAGCTTTGGGCACTCACCAGAAACTTCAGCTCTCCAGCATCGCTCATTGCCACCAAAAACCGTAGCTAAAACCGAGGTTGGCATTACAGCAGAACATAACACAGTCCCAATCGTATTTGCTGCTTACAGGTTTTTTTGTTGGGTCAGTGCTAACCATCAGTTTTTGATTTTGGACAATAAGTTCTACAAGATCTAAACCGAGACGCTTAGTATTTGACGAAATAAAACAAAGTTTGGCTTCTCTAAAAAACAACCGATACTAAGGTCGTTCTTAATTTTCATGACCAGAAGTGAAACAGTATCCAGAAGAACATGACTTCTAGCAAAAGCTTTTCAAAACAGTATTAAAAGATTTAAAATTGCTATGGTTAAAAGCAAATCTGCCTGCCACAAGCTCGCTCGAGCAGTAATACCTTTTGGATCCAGTCCATAATTGGTACAATAGCCCATGACTACGTATTTATATTTCATGACCTATAAACTCTGTAGGCCTTTGGCAATTAGGAGTTTCGATATATGCACGCTCCAATGTAACCATAAGTTACAGTGGCCAGTTGCATCAGGCTGCCTAATGAAGTGGGCTGCAATACCCACAGAGACCAAAACCTGGCCGGCACTCTACCCACTTCAGTCTCGGCATAAAATCAGACTTAATCTCCGGTCCCCGAAGCCTAAAGCAAGGCAGATTCCACTTCAGTCACGCTGGAGAATTTCTCCTGTGTCTTTGAATTGGATTGTGACCAGCAATGCAGAGAAAGGTGCTTGCACTGCTAGGACTGCACTTCTTGTTTTGCCCCCCAAGTTTCATCAACAGCAACACAAGAGGTTGTTAAAGTCTTACAATGTAATAGACCTACAAAGAGGCTCTGCATGGACAGAGGGTTCATCTCTTCTCCCTATTTCCAGGGTTCAAACCAGAGGAACAGTGCTGGTGAGGAAGGCAGCAGCACGGTGAATCCAGGTTATCTTCTTTTCAAAATACAGAGCACTTTGGGAGGTGAAAATTTACTTAAATTTACACACAATATTAAATAGACTCAGAATAAACATAGTCTGCTCACCAGGATAGGAGCGGATTATAAAGAGATAAATATGCGAGGACACCACTGAAAGGAAGTGACTCTACCAAACACCACCAAGTTTCCTGAGAGTATTATGGCAGCCCTCAGGTCACTTAAGATGAAAATAAGCTGATCACAGCTTAAGTTCAAACCACAGAAATAACACAACAGCCTCAGGGGTAGAGATAAACCTATTCAGCTACCCTCAGTACAGGACTTCCGGCAGGAAGATGGGGTAAACATCTAGATGGGAACCTCTTCAGCTCTTCCTTCCCCCCCCCCCCACCCCCCATTGCCAAAGTTCATGGATCCCACCCCAAGGGCATCCGCATTCAAGATCTTCTAAACTACTGAAGTTCATCAGAACTGAATTAATCAGGAAGGAAGAAAAATTACAGCAGCTTCACTTACCGAAGCTCACGCTTCAGCAGTCACAGTTCCAGCGGTATCAGATCACAGGCAACCAGAGCAAGAAGTGCTCCTTGCTACATTTTAAATGATCATTTGTTGTTTAGTCCCCCCTGTATCCATCTCTCCCTGAGTGAGATTACTGCAGTCAATTTACAGCTGAACTTTGAACATCAAGAAGAAATGTCAGCAACTATACAATGTTACACTATAAGCAGTTGATGTTAGATCCAACATTCAACATGTTGTCTCTGGTTTTATATGCAAGTTTGGGAATCGTTTACTTAACCGTAACAACAGAGTAATGAGTGACTATCAGCCCTCCAACTCTCTCATCCTCTCCAGTATGCACGGGCTGAATGTATGTATTTCAATATAGCTACTATAGAGTAAGCAGCAACTGGAATCAGGCTGCATGGTAAAGGAGCTTATAAATTAATATGAAGTTGTGAACCACTTCCAAAGACCTCGGAGAGCACCCCTTGAAAACCTTCCAGGTTACGTTTGGGAATCCTGTCACTGAAAGAGTCTTTACTCACATTCTTAAAAAGTTTAGCTGCACCTACACAAATATCTCGTCACAGAAACAGCACATATGACTACTCATGCATCAAGCTAGCATTTCCCAAGAGCCTAAAAGATTATTCATGACCAAACAGCCTATAAATACTGCTTCTCTATAGACCCTCCAGACAAATTACTTTCCTTCTGTCCCAACAAAAGTACTTAAGATGTCCAGCAGTGACAGTCATTTCACTTTTAAGCCCTGTAGCATACCCTTACAGCAAGTTTAAACTTTAACTCGCATCTTCAAAGCCAAAGCTATCTCACCTTGTCAGCTGCCACCTTGCAACGATATCAACGTAAAATTCCAACTATTCTTCCAAGAACTTTTGTGGGTTTTTTTTTTTTAACCAATCATTAGTAAGACCTTTTTTTTATTTAAACAAAAATATTTGGTTGCTGTTATCTCCATATTTTAAAGTCTTCTTTTTTACTTACTTATTTTTAAGTACCCAAGAACTGAGGCTAAAACATTACTTCCTACAGCTAAAACGTCAACTCAGGAAAAAAAGTCACAGGTCTAGGCTGAGAAACACAGCTACATTTCTAGTCTTTTCACCTTGTATGCTTTTTTCCCCCCTGTTTGTTACTACCATTGGCTTTAACTAGCAGCCTGTTTCCAAAAAAGGTTGCATATTTCTTTTGTGTAAAATCCACTAAGAAAAGCCTAGCGTTCAGAAGTACGTTTAACAGTTTCAATCTTATTTATTGCAATATATTTAACACCATTAAACCAAGGCCCAAAATATTCAATTATTTAGTATTTTACAGTGCTGTCATTCCCAATCTTCCCCTAAAAACTTGCCCGTTTTTGAGAACTTATTTATAATATTTACCTTGAGTAGCCAATTTGTGTTCATGTGCTTTGTTACTAATTAAGCTAGAATACTGAACAGTCTGACCTCTCAGGTGAGCGATCAGAAGAACAAGTCACACTCTTCACTGTGACAGCTAGATAAAGAACATCACCACCAGCTTTTGTGCAAAAACAAGTAGTTAACTGACACTCTGAACAACATTTTAACAAAACTTTTATTCCTAGTGAAAACAAGGCCCATGGCACCATAACTAGATACGTTCCTTCAACTGTTTCTCTATTGAACACTTCGATGTGACCCCGACAAGTCTTCTTTTTTTTAAATCACTCATCCAAAAGCTCTCATTTTAAAGTTTGCTCCAGACACCAATGAGAGCAGCATAGGGTTTCGACTCGTCACATTGAGTGCTGCAGGTAAAAGTGTCCCCAGTCAAGAGGGAGAGCAGCAACCCGCCTGAGAGTCCTGGCGTCAAGTACTGGCTTCGTTTTACCCTTGCCAGGTGTAACCCTCGGCTTCTGGGCAGTCTGCAAAACAAGTTACAGTTACTCCCTCAACCAGAAATAAGCTGTTCAAGCAGGCCACGCGCCACGGCTGTAAGAACTAGGGGAACGAAGGCCTCTAAATAAACACAGAGCTGAAAACGGACCTACCCGCCCCGCTGCGGCCTGCCCCTCGGCGGCGCGGCCCCGGCGCCA